ATTACCTAATCTTCAAATACTCAATGAAGTGTGAAAATTGATTATTTCAATACCATCAAGATCAATGCTTGTAGAATTTGACAAAGCAACGTATCTAAAATTTATACTTTGTTGCTTCAATAAATATATTATTTTTACACTTTAGAACTGAGGATATGTAAATTGATGTAGTACGATTCAAATCCCTTATAGTTGAAGAAAAGAAACATCAATTTTAATAAGGCATATACTTATATTATAATGAAGAAGATCATAAATTTCGAAATTACTTAAAAAAAACAATATATCATTAGAATTAAAAGTGCGATTGTTCAAAAAAACAAAAAAGTCCAACTATAATAGGAAATATGTAGTTGGATATTTCAATACCTCAAATTCATTAAGATCCCTCTCTTTCTAACCAACTCACTTGTTATTTTATTATATCTTTATTTCTTCGACTACAAAAACTTCAAATAAATGCCTTATTAGATTTAGGAGCATTTGCTTATTTTTTAGATAAGGAATTTTTGAAAATTCATAAAAAAAATTTAGTATAAAAGTCAAACTTATACATATAGAAGTAATAGGTGGTCGGCCTTTATCTCCAAGCAAAGTTATTCATAAGACTATTCTGCTAGAAATATCATTTGAGGGCCATAGTAGCAAAATAATATTTAACATTATTAGAATTCCATCTAATCCTATTACTTTAGGACTTTCATGATTAGAAAGATAATATCCATTTATAGATTGGAAATTACATAAGATTGAATTTTTTAATAAATTTCTTTTAGGCAAAACCTATGAAGAAGTTATCAAGAATAAAGCCCTTATTTTTTGCATTAAGGACTTTTATAAAGATGGCTAAGAAAGAAATGTCATTTTTTATTTATGAAATTTTAGATTTTGAAAAAGCAAGCTTGTTAGTAGCCTACTTGGAGCAATATAAAAATTTTTAAGATGTATTTGAAAAGAAAAATGCTACCATATTGCTAAGCATTGATTGTATAATTATACCATTGATATTCAAGAAGGGACTCAACTACCATTTGGCTAAATTTACAACCTATCATAGAATGAGCTTTTTGCATTGAAGGATTATATCAATAAAAAATCTTGTAATTTTTTTATTTGCTATTCAAAATCTCCAACAGATACATTAATATTTTTTGTGAAGAAAAAAGATGGATCTTTGCAAATGTGTATTGATTATCATGGCCTCAACAAAATAATGATAAAGAATTATTATCTATTACCATTAATATCAAGGCTTTTGAAGCAACTTAGTTAATCCAAGTTCTATACCAAAATAGATCTCTATAGAGTGTATAATTTGGTACAAATTAAAAAATAAATAAAAAAAATAAAAAATGAATAAAAGATTGCATTTCGAACAAGGTATGGAAATTTTGAATATAATGTTATGTCTTTTAGATTAAAAAATGTTCCAAGTATATTTCAATATTTGATAAATAATATTTTTTGAAAATTCTTAGACAAATTTGTTATCTGTTATCTTGATGATATCTTAATCTATTCTAAGAGTCTTGAAGAACATGAAGAACATATGAGATTAGTCTTACAAAAATTACGAGATACAGGATTATATAACACATTGAAAAAATATATATTCTATTAACAAAAAATAGAATTTTTTAGATATATTATATCCAATGAAGGCTTCTTGATGGACCCAAAGAAAGTTTAAGCTATAATAGAATAAGCAACTCCAAAGATAATATAAGATGTATAATATTTTTTTAGATTTGTTAATTTTTATTGAATATTCTTTAAGAATTATTCTCAAGTTGGTATTCTTTTTATTCAATTGACATTCAAAGAAAAAATAGAATAGGAACCTTAAGCTCAAAAGACTTTTAAAGATTTGAAGGTAGCTTTTACCACAGTTCTAATCTTATTGCATCCAAATTTTACAGAGGCCTTCTATGTAGAGATTGATGCTTTTAACTTTGCATTAAGAATTATATTATTCCAAATAGGAAATAATGGAAAGTTCCACGTAGATGTCTTGTATTCTAAAAACTTTTTAGTTGTGGAGATCAATTATAAGATTTACAATAAAGAGCTTTTTGTCATTGTAAACTCTTTTTAAGAATGGCATCACTTGTTGGAAGGTACTACACATCCTATAATCATATATACATATCACAAAAATTTGAAATATTTCATATGAGCTTGGATTTTAAATTGCTGCCAAGTTTGTTGGAATATGTCATTATCTTGTTTTGATTTTTTAATTATACATCGACCAAAAAAGTAATAAAGACTATCAAATGCTTTATCAAAGAAATCATATCTTATTCCAAAGGCCTTAAAAGTAGCATTTAATCAAAAATATACTACTTTCTTGAAGCCAAAATAATTTTGTCTTTATTCTACTTCTATGATTACACCTATTGATTCAAGTTTTTTTGAACAAATTTGTGTAGCGCTAATAAATAATTCATTAATTTGTAATATTCAGCAGTGATCTATCAATAATAAGTTTAAGTTTGTAGAAGATCTTTTGTATTTTAAAGATTTTTTATATATTCCAAAAAGATTGATGTAACATCATGTTTTTTAATCTTCTCATGATTTTCTAGTTCTAAGACATTTTGAATTTAACAAAACATTAGAGCTTATCTCTAGAGATTTTTGGTGGCTTCAAATGTGGAAGATTGAGAAGGACTTTGTTCTTTCATGTGACATCTATTCAAGTTTTCAAAATTCCCATTATCATCTTTATGGACTTCTACAACCACTATCAATTCCAAAGTAACCATAGTCTTTAATATCAATGGATTTTATCACTAATCTACTGCCATGAACTATATTTGATGCTATCTATGTTGTTATGGATTCACTTATAAACATGGCATATTTTGTCCTATGTAAAAAAATAATTTTTAGAGAAGAAATGGCAAGGCTCTTTCTTAATAATAAATATTGATATCATGCCTAACTGATGACATCATTTTTTATCAAGGACCTTAATTTATATCAAATTTTTGAAAAACTATTTTTGAGATATTGAAGATAGATATCAAACTTTCCTCTACCTTTCATCTTCAAACCATTAGTCAAACAAAACATATCAATCAAGTTTTGGAGTAGTATTTGCAATGTACCATTAATTATTAATAAGATGATTGGACCTTGTATTTATATTTAATAAAGTTTGCTTATAATAATATTCTTCATACTTCAACTTAGCAAACTCCATTTTACTCCAATTATGGTTATTATTTGAAGTTTGATTTGTTAGGTATATCAAAGGATGAAAATCCAATAGCAAAAGATCTTACAAAACAATTGTCATAGCTCTAGACAACTTTAAAGCTTCATTTACAAGTAGCTCAAGATTCTTATAAAGCATCTTTAAATAAATTTAGAAAATAATCCCTTGCTTTTTAAGTTGGATAAAAAAGTATGGTTTCTTTGACGAATTATCAAAACCAATTGGTCTTATAATAAATTGGACTTCTAAAGATTGGGATCATTTTGTATTCAAAAGCAAATCAATTCAATGGCTTATTGGTTGAAACTATCCACATCTATGAAGGTACATCTATTCTTTCATGGTTCTCTCTTAGAAGCTTATATAAAATCAATTATTCTATAAAGAATTCAATTATCACTGCCTTGCATTGAAATAGATAATCATGTGGAATATGATGTGGAAAATATCCTTGATTCTTTGTATAGAAGATGCATGTTGGAATATTTTATTGATTGGCGCAACTACAATATCAATGAGCATACATGAGAATCAGCAAAAAATCCACTTAATATGCATCAAAAGGTATATGAGTTTCATTGATGCCATCTTCAAAAACCTAAACCTATTGTAAGATGACTTCTCTACAAAGATACTACTAAGATGTTATATATAATGAAAAAAATATACATGAAATTGATGCTCCTTGTAGAACTTGGACTTAAAAGAAGAGGTGATATTACAGACATCCAACAAGAAGATTCTAAGAATATCTTTAGAATATCCTATTAGATTCTTTAAAAAATTAGAAAGATTCTTAGAAGATTTTTAAAAGGTTCTAAAAGATTCTTAAAATATTTTAGCATGGTTTAGGAAGTTCTAGGAGATTCAAAAAAGTTGTCTAAGAAGTTTCTTAGGATTGCTTCATTTTCAAGCACCATAGAAACTTCTTAAGAAGCTTCTTAATAACTAGTATATATTAAAGTTGAAGCTATGGGGATCCTCAATCTCAACAATACATCTTTTGGAGCTTTATTTTACCTTTCTTAGTATTGATCTTGTACTCATTTGATTTAATCAAGTTCTTGTTAGTTTTTTATTAAAACTCTTCTATTCAACTTCTTGTTTGGTCTCTTATATAATATATCTATAACATTTGCAACCAAATGCCCATTGAATTTCCAAGCTAAATTTCATACAACATGACAATGTTTTTAACAATTAAAAAAATAAGAAAACAAAATCCAAGCATATTAGTAATGTTATTTGAATAAATAAATAAATAAATAATCAAGCATTTATTAATAAGCTTTGTAATCATATTAATCTAATTTAAAACATAAATAAAGTAATCAAAATTTTTATTTGTTAGATAGGATTGGAAAATTTTATTATAAAATTTTATTTAATTAATTAATTATATATATATATATATAATGCTTGTTTTACATTCAATATTTTTTTTATAAATTTTGTAAATTTTAAAATTATATATATATATATATATATATATATATATATATATAATAGTATAATTTACAAAATTTATAAAAAAAATATTGAAAGTAAAACAAGTATTAAAATTTTGAAGTATGAATTTATAAAGGTAGAGCCAAGTAATGTAGTAAATTATAGATAAAATAAATAAACAAAAGATACTTGTTCTACTGCATATATGAATGTTGTATATATGAGACTTTTCAAAATATGATGTTGAAATTAGTATGATTTTATGAGAAACAATCTTAACAAATTAAATACTATCTTTACAACCAAAAGTTGGATTGTTTAGAGATCATTAGAATGAAAGCTATTTATTAGGAGTTTGAAAACATAATCACATATATATATAATCTACATGTAAAAATTGGAAGAAATTTATTTTAATGGCTACTAATCCCTGGAGTGTACTCCCACGAGTCTCAACTGAAGCATTTAGCAGTCGTTTGTAACTTCCTTCTTCATGCATTACCATTACACAGATGAAAGAGAGGGCCCAACTTTGTTACTTCTACTTCTACCTCAACGGCGAATTCATTAACATGATCATCCAACTTAGACTTGAATTCTCAAAAGAACTGTAATTCTGGTTTGATACTTCGCTAGCACCAGTAAAAAGCATTCTCTACCGAATATGTCAGATTTAAATTTTCGTTCTCCATTCCAGCCTCAATATACTATCAGGTACATCACATAGAACTGAAGACAAAATCCCCAAATAGCAACGACGTGCAAACTGAAATCATTGAAACCCACGAGTCAAGATTCATCTCCACTGGCATCTTCATCACTGAAATAGCCTGCTTTCTTTTTGGGACCCTACAGCAAAAGGAAAAATGAATTAGATGGAAACAAACCAACTGTTCGGTACACTAGTATAGATTTAAAAAGGTGTCAAAGATTTTATAATCAGGTAAACCCACTTTTATAAATTCCTTAATACCGAGGCATAGAAAACTGATGATTAACACAATAATGAAACAAGAAATTAAAAATTAGGCATCAGCTACATGCTTTACCTTTCTAGCTTCTACGACTACTATAAGAACTTACAGAGTGTAACCCATATTATGTAGAACAGTCACTATTCAAACAAAACAGACATGTCAAGCGTACCCTCAATACTCTTGAAGTTGTTGCATGACCGTGAGATACGTTACCATCTGCTGCTGGGACCATACCCCTGTAAACAAGAGTGTAAGATGCTGGTTGAAGAGAATGCAAAATGACACGCATCAATTGATGATACAGGGACAAACAGTTGAATGTATCAACACGAGCATAAGAGAAAAAAGCACCATGCGATGCTTCCAATCATTAATAAAAATAGACTAAACAGAAAGAACTCACGTTGAGGCGACGGCAGATGCCCAATCATCGTCCTCAAACTGAGTTTCATCAACTTCTTCATCACTACACAGCCAACATGCAAATTCCATTAGTAGAAAACTAAGTCAAGATCAGAACGGAACGTTTGCTCAGGATTGCACAAAAAAACTTCTTGAGATTGAAATCTAATGTCACGGAACACACCAGAGGTTATATAGAAGAAACCACAAAAAGATATGGCTTAATCACTGTATGAACAACTACCACCACTAATAATCATTTTAAATTGGATAGAAAGAAAACGTTCAATTGTTTATAAATTACAAACCCATTTATTGATACAAAAAATAAAACCCTCCTATGAGAGAATATGCAAATACCCAACACATGAAAAATGCAGTTTGTGTCAAAAAAGGCTACAGACACACAGTGGGCCATAAATCAGTCAGACAAAAATACCTCTCATTAAGATCTCTTCTAGAGTCACCATCATGCCTTGTTTGTTCCCCTCGTTTCCTTTTGGCTACTGGCCGTTCCCTTGAACCTAACTGGTAAGACGAACACCAAAGATAAGATCCATTGCCGATTTATCTATAGAAATTAGTGGGATATCATTCACTCTTTTTGCACCTAATCATAAAGAGATTACAAACAGCCCGAAAAAATGCAGGAACAAATATTCGTATCTAAGACGGCTCGAATACACGATAGCTAGAGTTCAAGAGTAAAAAGCAGTAAAATAATCCACCAGGTTTTTAGGGCACTCATAGGAGAGGTGACCGCCTTCTCCACATTCATAGCATCGACTCTTGTCTTTGTACTCCTGCAACCATTCAAATGAACCCCTAAGATTTCATGTCACGTTTTATTCTAGAAATAAGGAAGTCCATCAGACTAACCTAACGCATCCTACTTGGGTCTGTGATTAAACAAACGGCTTTTACGACCTTCACAGCAGAGACATATCTGTAGACAACCATTAAAGCACTAGTAAAAGTAACAGAATAATACCCGGCGTCTAATAAACTCCTTGGCTCGACCATTATCCTCAGCAATCGAAACTTTCAATGTCCTTTTATTCAATATTTTGCCATTCATGGTCTTCACCTACACCACCTTTACAACATCAAGATTGCAAGTCAAACATAAAAACGACTAAGGAAAACCCAAAAAGTTCAATCTTGATGAGGTAAAAGTAGAGATATCACGAGTCTAACATAGATATGATAGGAGATCAGAAGATGTAGAACAGGGGATGCCAATGGCATCAAGAAGAATTAGAATTAACTGAAATCGTTATTTGCTGAGATCAGTAAGCAACGGATTTCATGAATTCCAGTCTACAAGGAGGCATAACAGTTCGTCACTCTTGAAAAACTTACCGCTGCATGAGCGTCATCACGAGAGGCATACAAGATAAATGCTACGCCTTTGCTTTCTCTTGTTTGTTTATCTTTCACGATTGTAACCCTGTATGTAAGACCAAAAAAACCTTATAAATCGGAAAGACGGAAGGGTAGCAGACTGTCTCAAGGGTTCAAATTATATGCCCTTGAGTAGCCTCAGCAATCGCTAAATGCCCGATCATGTAAGTCACCTATTCTGAGAGCTAGAGTTTCAGTGCAGGAAAAAGTGAAGGCAGGACTACTTTCTCGCTCAATTCGAAAATCAATTAATCAGAGGTAACAAAGAGATGTCACGGCCATTGAAATGTTGAAAACGTTCCGAAATACAAAACCATTGTGGAAGAATATACGCTCTAGAGTGCTGCACTAGCGCAACAAAAAGGCAATTACTTTCGCATTAGTATGCACTACGGACTACACGTTGGTTGCCAAGACGGCGCACTTCATGAAATGTTACTAATACAATCAGATAGCTGTTCAAAAAAGATAATACAACCCCAAAGTAAAGAATCGCATCAGCGAATCACCGACCTAGTGACAAAATGAAAAATTCCGAAATAAACACGCGGAAAGAGTTAAATTGTCGACCCATTGAGCTGAAAGAAAGAAGAGTTGGCATGCACCACTTACTTGCCAATCTTGCCAAAGGTACTGAAGATGGTGTGCAGATCATTATTGGTGAGACTAAAGTCCAAATTGCTAACATACACAGTAGACTTGGATGGAACAAGGCCGCCGCTGCTGCCGTGAAGACGCTTCCCCGTGGACATGGCTGAGAAGCTGTAAATCTGCAGTGAAAAGATGACAATGACAAAAAGCTAAATAGAAGTGAAAGTAAACGCCTCATAACATTAGCAACCAACCTAAGCCCTAGCCGTGACGATGAGACGGGGGCTCTCTCTATGACTCCTTGCTGCACACGAAAGCTGTTCAAGAATTGCAACATCCACCATTGCTTTATCCGTAATCAGATGTGTAAGTCAATACCATTCATAAATTAAAGCGAGCTGCGGCAGCACCGAGTATACACGTAAAAAGGACAAGACTTAAGAGCTGACTACCAATTATGACTCGATGCGCAGAGGGTTGATAAGTTTTTACGACTGATGATTGGTCTGCATAATCAACCCTAACCAGACCTCACACCAATTCGAATAAGCCTACGCACCCCGTCAACAAAAGAGTTCTGCCTTGTTATATAATGTTCTTCCACCCCTCAACTCGTTTGACTTCAAGGAGGATGGAGACCTGCTCTTGCTTCAATACAGTAGCTTCCAAGTGACTAGTGCTGTTGGTGTATTTAACTCTAATCTAACCAACCTAAATAGGCTCCAGCAGTAGCAGGGGAAAAATACACATCATCTTTGAGTCTGACAAATTAGAGTGAACTCTATTTTCCGTGAGGTATGCGGAGCGAAGAAACGGAAGGCGGGTTGAGGCCAGCCTTTTCATGCAGATTCCGGGTGTTTTAAAGAATGCACGATTCCCGAGCAATCAACAACTAACGGATCGTGTGATTGCTTACATCGCATGACAACACAGTCGAGTGTCAAACTGGCTGCAATGCATTAGCTTCAAGAAATAACGTTGTGATTTATACACGAATCCCGATAAAACCGCAAGGTACACGAATTCTGCCCCACGACGCTCCAACTCAAGGGAGCAAAAGTATCGAAAAACCCTAAAATGCAACCTCCGGAGAAGAGCCTTGATCGAAATGGTTGATACCACCACGAAAAAACAGATGGACGACTATTCTGATGTGTGTGGGTGTGTCTGGAATGTGATGTGATGTCTGCAGCAACATCGTTACCGCATTCCTACTCTCCCATGTCCAACCCCCGTTCTGCGACTCTTTCCAGTTCCTTACCATAAAGCAAAACATGAGCCCCAAAGTTAAAGAGCAAACCCAAGAGCAAACGGAAAAGCATGCCTCTCAAAAACACCAATCTCACTTAACCAAACGCCATGTGAGTAGTATATTCTACACCGACAATCAACTACTAGAGAGGGCACTATGTAGAATGAAAATTTGAAATCAATGTGCATCGATATGAACAAGTGTTTGGATGGGTCTGAAAATTTTCTATTTTTTTAACATGTCCATAAAGTTGTTGGTAGTTTTAGTCTGAAGTCAATTTGAAAAAAAAATGACTTTAAATCTTCAAACAAAGAAGAATAAAAATTAGAAAAATATTCTTTTATATCAAACAAAAGTATTACAAGAGTTTTAGAAAAATTACAGTACTTATATTGGTTGTCAAAATTATTTCATATACATACATCCATACATCCATGTATGTATGTATGTATGTATGTAGATTTTCACACCTCTATGTACCTAATTTTGGGAAAATTGATATTGTCAAAGACTATTTTTTTAATAAAAGTTTTAATCACAATTTAATTCATCCAATGATGAATACTTGGGTAAGTATTACGTGTGTGAGTGGGATTGACACATGACAGCACATGTATAAACAGATGCACTTGCATGAGATTGACACAAAGTACTTGTAAAAAACTTTGCATTCAAGACACTTTGTAAATCTACAAAGTGATATGATTGGAGAATATATGTTTTTTAACACAACAGAAAATAATCAGATTTCATAACTCAAGGAATAGTGCATAATAGTCCTCTATAATTGTACTGGAATATAGTAATTTAAGTTGCCAACTACCGTGAGCTTTTTGTAATTATAGTAATTAAGAAAGGTAGTTTAACCTTGGTTTGGCCGTTATAAAGAAAAATTCCATTAATACATGTTTGATGTTTCAACCAAATATGTATATGCATGTATGAATGTCTAAATGTATTGTCACCCTCAATACCACAATTTACAAAGAACAGAGTAGAAATCAGAATTATTCACATGGATCAATCAAACTGTAAAATTAGTAAATATGGTCCAGTTTTTCAAAAGTACAAGATGTGGAAATTTACTTTAAATATACGTTGATAATCCATTCGAGTGTTTCAGTCGTACACGGTCATCATATTTAACTCTTTTCACTTACAAAATTCGTTACAATCTTTGTATTTTCGTATTGTATTCTGTTGTTTCAAAAACTGTTGCATTCTCCAACATTATATGAAGGATATATAAGCTTGATTTTGCTTTATCCCACAGCAGTGATTATCTTCGTAGTAAATATGACAGGTACATCCATCATGGTAAGAATATCAATGATAGTAGAGGTAATAGTAATAATATCAATAGTGAGGCCACACTCGAATTACTCGTACAAGGGAACTCAAGAGTTGTAATCTAGAAGTCAGATTCTCAAGACTGAGTGTCGGATCATTGGAATCACCAGGCGATTCATTTCCGATCGCCACCAGTGTCCGAAGGAGGGGTCAACGTATGGATGTCGGTGTAAAAGTCGGTGGAAAGATGATCCGACGAGCTTCGACTTCGACACCCGCCTTGCATCTGCAGAAGTGCGCTGCTGCGGCGAAAAACGAGGATCCACTCGGAACCCTTGGGGTCTCATTTTGTCTAGACGGTGGAGAAATATGGTGATCAGGTTCCTTGGAGGAGTTGACTCGGGCATAGAGTTCAAACTCAACTGGTTCTGGTACCCAACTTGGTACAACCTGTACCGACATTTGTTGGGCGCCATGTCTCGAAGAGGATGTGTTCATTAACACCAGTCAACCGTTCCCTTCGCGGACTTCCACTACCAACGATGCACAATGGGAGGCCGATACCACCCAGTGCTTATCTTAGTATCGTTCAGGACTGTGTCCATACAAGTGTTTGTAGAAGCTGCTGCGAGTGTTTTGTCATGATTCTCATTGGAAAAGCTTCTGAACTGGACATTCGAGATGATAGCAGACCTTGTAAGCTCGATGGTCATTGCGCCCTTGCACGCTTTGGTTGGCCTTGCAGCTCTCCTTGTACAAAGTGTTCAAGTAAGGAATATAGCTGTTTCTGATCCAACGGCTGTGGTAAAATCACAAGACAGAAAATTCCCCACGTTAGAGAGCTTATCTACAAACATCAGCAATATCTTTTGCACAAAATGGGATACAAAATCCTCACGCTGGTATATAATACCCCCGCCTCCAATCAAGATTGAGTGGGTTCTGCCCGTCTCAGTGTCTACAGTACTCATGCATCCAAAACGATTGCAAGAGGCCAGACAATGGGACACATGCTTAAATGATCGTGATTCAGGAAGTCTATAAAGTGAGTTCATCCTTGCCAACGATAAAGATAAAAGATACTACTCGTTTTGGTTAACGAGCAGTACTGATGCAGCAGGAAGGTGTCTTATCACCTTGGAAATGTAGTCATCCATTCCAGCATCGAAACAAAGTTCGTGTGTCTCCTTCGTGACGTCTGCAGTGACTGCTACGATAGGGAGGTGGTAGTGCGAGCACTTCAAAAGCTCAAGCTCAGACGCGATCCTATCCTCAGAGCACTGCTCACAGACCTCTATCTCCCATGTCCGTATTCTTCGGGTGGCTTCATAACCATCCATCTGTTCCCACATGAAACAATCACAACAGCGATCAGATTACCCAATCCATGCAAAAAAAAATTACCGCAAACCAAAGACAACATGTTCCAGAAACTGGACTGTCCAAGTTGAATATGTTGGAGTCGGGCTCTACCTCTGGCATCTGAATGTCCATCAACACAAGATCAAAAGCCTCGTCGACCTTCTGATCGCGAATTGCGTTAATCGCTTCCATTCCTCCATTGACAGCAGCAACGGTGGCGCCATATCGAGCTAGCATCGAGGTGGCAACTCTTCGGTTGACCATGTTATCATCTACCTGCATTATGTACAAACGCCCTGAAACCTTTAACACTCTATTCAAGGATTTGCAGCAAAAAATATCTTCAATACCTGGTGTTAAAAATTCAGGAGTAATACAAACTACGATATAAAATACACCGTCTCACTAATGTGCAGCACTAAGGTTACGAAAAGCAACATTCAAGCAACTGCAATACCTGACATCAGTCAGGTAAGAGCAATTAAAGCTAGTCTATCCACACAAATTCTCTGTCAATAGTAATAGGTCTAAACAGTGAGTTGCGTTTAGCTAGAAAGCAAGTCGAAGAAAAATCAGGTGATGCTGTGAAATATACCACTAGCAGGCGTTTCCCGACCAATAGTTTGGGATTTGGAGCCACTTTGGTGGTGGGCGTCACAGTTCGAACCCCTAAAGCTTCCAACAATATCGTGGTTACAGTTGCATGGCGTAATGGCTTGAAGATAGTTGACGAATATCCAGCCTTCTTCAGCTCCTCCTCATGTATTTGTGGGCAGGTGAGCGCTATCACCGGTAGAGCCTCATAACCGGGTTCTTTCCTCACGAGTTGCCCTATTTCTCTCGTTGTATCTTTATCTACTCCTTGAAAATCGATTATGATTGCTTGCACTAAGATTGCGTTCTCTTTTCTACACCAAAAACAAAACCCACAACTTACAGTTGAACACCAACCTCAACATGCAGTTGATTACAACCAAAGACAACGTCAAGTCTCAGTGGAACATGAGACTCATACATCATCAATATGAAAGCCTATTCTTCCAACGTAAAGAGTCCGTCAAAACTGTCAGTACATAGGAGATTCTAACACAAGACAAAGTTCCGGTCGAAATTGAACACCTATTATCGGGTACATTCTATATTTTACTAAATGAGAAAAATTGCACAATTTGGTCTTCATTCATGGTGAGAAATACGAATAAACAATAAACGAACACGGCTAGACCTGTGTACATGAACAACCAGTGAAATTACTGGAGTGCAGCAGTAATGCATACCTCCTGAGAAAGTCCATAACCCCCCGCAAGTCTTCTGTTTCTTCCACTACCACGCCTAATCTCCTTAAATAGCTCGCAGATGCTTCCTGTATGTCAGATTCCAAGCAAGTACTCGACATGTCAAAGTCAAATCACAAGCGAGATGAGATACACAACAGCCCAGTATATCTTCCTGATGCAAACCTATCTATTTGTAGACATTAATTTAACGTTTCATTTAAGCCTCCTACCACTTGCATTTTGTCAAAACTATAAGCATCACCCTTCCATCAACCTCAGCGTATACTCAGCGATTTAAGTACAATGATTTTTAGTAGATGCACTCCATACATCTAATTATTATCATATATCACCGTATCTGTATATAGTACACCCTCCACATAGCGCCGAGATAGGCCTTAGGTACAAGGAGAACACAAACAACACAGTATCGAAATAGAAAAGTATGGATAATGGACGATACCTGCCGCACAGGATGAGTATCGACCAAAATAACTCTAGCTCCCCTCAACTTTTCATGATCAGCGGTTGGTTTCTGATCGGGCTTTACACAACCAGCCTCCCAGTTTGTATAAAATGGCTCTGGGGGCAGCCCTAGTGTGACAGTTAATTCAAAAACACTACCTTCTCCAGGGTTGCTATTCACAGTAATATCTCCTTTCATCAACCATGCCAGTTTCTGCAACACGTCCCCATATCCACGAAAACACGGCTTATAAGAAATCAGAAATGAACAGTTCGAATAGTCCACCTGGAATAAAGACTAAGATCTGGTCTACAACAATATACCTCTGCAATACATCTACAATAAATCTTTTACCACTGATAACAAAGGACAGCAAAGCAACTTATTTGAACCAATGTACCACACAGATCTTCCTAGCTCGATGAGGACCTACCAGAAGATATCAATGTATGGCTTTAACAAGGGAACAGATAAACCAAAACACGTCACAGAAACTCGGTGAAGCCAGACATTTTTCATTCCTTGCAAGAAAAACATTTCATTCAAGCATACCTTGCATATTGATAAACCAACACCAGTGCCTCCATATTCTCTGGAGGTGCTACTGTCAGCTTGAAGAAAAGGTTGAAATAGGCGATTGTGCAAGTGTAATGGGATACCGATACCTACACCATCAGAAGAAGGAAAATCTTGCGAGTAAGAAAATACGACAGAGAAAACGAACAAGACAAAGCCAAATAAAAGATCAAGTCGACATGAAAAATTCGTCGATACTAACAGAATGAAAGGGTACCTGTGTCTTCCACAGAAATAACAAGAGTAACCAGTCTTGGCTCTGCGGTCTCAGTTGATCCCTTCGGCTCCCATCTCCTCCACGCGGCAACAGCTTCGCGTGTGCTCAAAGCGCCTGGCACCATACTCAGCCTCGGCGCCACCAAATGCATCTCAGATATCTTCGCGGACTTTCCTCTGTAAGTCGTATCCCGATCACTTCCAACCATGCCGGTCGTATCACTTCCACTGGAAGACTTATTTACCACTTGTCCACTGCCTACACTGCCCAGAGTGAAGTGTTTTGAGCGAGGACGACTATTAGTCACTTCCGGAAGTGGGAGCAGGCGGTCAGAGTGACATGTGTCTAGAATGCGAACGCATAAGAAGATACTACCCTGCTTAGTGAACTGCAAAAGCACACCGAATGCGAAAGAATGAACTTATAATTTCCCCAATCTATTGCACGAGAGTTTGAAGGCACGAATGCAACTGCAATGAGAAGCGAAAACAAATGGTAGAAAAGTCATGACCTGCAAAAAATATCTCAATCGTCATGAAAAACAACCCATGCATGTCTATCAATTAGGAAATGCTCAAAACCAAGATCAAAGTCAAGTCATTACCTTCATGGCATTACTGACAAGGTTGACGAGAACCTGCACAAAATGATTAAGCAAGCTAACTAAAATTAGATATTTGACTATTGGTGCAAAACATGGACATTCGATCCAAACAGTACCGCAATGAAACTTTCATCACAAAATTAGGTGGTATTGCAAGCTAAAGAGAGTTGAGTGCAATGTGATCACACGGACTCCATGCTAGAATCAACCAGAGCAGATATGAATGCGAATTATACGTATCTGTAAAAAAGGAAAACCTACTGTCTTCGTCGGCATAGATTTCCACTTCAAATATTCAACATTTGAAGAGCACTCGAAACAGATGGTAACATGAAATTAAAACTCATCTTCCCCACGAGAAATTTCTACTTGCACCTTGAACCAGTATGAATTAGAGAAAGGCAATATACCCATTAAAACCCAAGACAGATCGTGTAAGAGAACTACCTTAAAAGACATGAAAACGAACATAGAAGAACAAATCATTGTCCAGTGGAATTGAAGTAACAGAAAGTGAGGCCAAACCTGACGAATGCGAGTTGGATCTCCCAACAAGCAAGATGGCACTGCATCATGAATCAAAGCCGCCATCTCAAGATGCATGTGGGATTCTTTTTCAACGAACAGTAATAGTATTTCATCGATCTCATCCCGAATGTTAAACTGTACAGACTCAATTTCCATCTTTCCCGCTTCAATCTTTGACAAATCCAGCACGTCATTGATAAGTGCCCTGCACACAAGAGAATTCCGAAATAGGTTAATTCACGACTTCAATTTACAGTCATGTAGAATGTTTTGCAATATCTTTTTCAAAACTTGTAAAGTTTGAGTCACATACAGTGACCAGGAAAGGCGAGCAATGACTTACACAAGGCTCTTTCCACAAGCTTGAGCAATTCTGACATACTCGAGTTGCTGCGGATTTAACTTCGTCCCCATAAGCAGGTTTGTCATTCCTGGACCCCAAACCCAAGTGACTTGTGAGGCAGCTGCTTATACCTTCATGACTCGAGTATGTCCCTAATAGGAATAAAATCCACCGAGAGTCTGATGATTGGCAGACCAATACAATTGTTTGAATTGGACTACCTATGCTCAGAACACATGATCAATTGTTTTCACAACATATGTATAAAACAACGGGTAGTCTAACAGTTCTTGAAAAACATCCCACTTAATCACAGCCCTACTACATGGGTGGCAAGCATCTTACCAATAACTCCATTCATTGGGGTTCTGTACAAAAGAGAGCACCAAAGAAGAAAAATGAATCAGAAGTACAATTATTTCATTATCAAGCGCATTAGATATTAACTGAGAACAAGATATACTGCTACGTCATTCATATAAAATAACATCGCAAATTAGAAACAAAAAACTAACAGAGAGGTGAGGCAATCTTTAGAAGGTTTCGAAGGAGCGGTAATCCTAAGCAATGAAAAATCCTCATCATATTGCACCTATCGAGTACAACACAACGTCACGCTCCTCCAGATGTCATAGAATATGAAAGCTTGACTTAAGGGGCACAGATCAAGCAATTCCCACCTTAACTCATGCGAAACTGTGGCCAGAAAACTTGATTTTGCTTTCTCAGCAGCCTCAGCTGCCATGGTGGCAGCCGTGAGCTTGGCATTCATCTTCTCCATAATAGATAAGTCCTTCTCAATTACCATCATTCGCTTCAACACAAGATACACAATAATTGCGCAGAAGAGAATAACCATGGCCAGCAAAAGAGGCCACGCTGCGACGTTCCGAAAAGCTGAGAGCTTCATGTTGCTCTTCGGTAAGCATCGAAGCTCGAAGTTCTGAGACCCAACCTCCCATGCGACAAACACATCGCTACGCTCCTTTGACCGGTTCGATGGATCAAACAATGGAAGGGCGCAGGGCGTAACAGTACTAGTGCAATTATATGCTACATGTGGTTCTATATTAGGGTCCACGTTGTAGACAGCCACAACATCCATGTCCTCGTTGTCGATGAACCTGACAACCGCCTTTTCAATTGTGAGGGCATGCTTCATTCGATTTATCGATCCACGACGAACAAACCAAACGAAAGCACACCTGGCAAAATTATATCAGAACTTGAGAATCTACCTCGAAAGGACAGCACCAAACACTTCCACGATGTTCAGTACTGTTGCCACATAACCCAAGCATGCATTCTTCCTTGCAGAAACGCTGGTGAAATTTGTTGAATCTTTGCCAGGCCCGTAGTATGCCAAATAGGCTCCCATTTGGAAAGTGCCTTCCCATGGGCTCGGTGGCGAGAGAGTAAACATACCAGTGTCACCTGAATTATCATATTTAGTGCAACATGAGATTGGCTCGAAGATTTGCCCAACTGTAAATAATGAATGACTCTGATGGAAAGCAAGAGGTCGCAAGCATCAGAAATAGACCTTGGAGCACAAAAGTGTCACTTACGCGCTTTCACAAGAGCTTGGTTAAGAATAGGAGAAGACCCAGCGTCATACATGTAGAGATCCACATCATCAGTCTCAAACACAACTGGCGCATACTCATCGGCCTGTTCCCGCCTGGCCCATGAGGAGTTTGCAAGAACTGTCATGATTGAGCGATTGTGCGCGCGCTCGAATTCCGCTCGCTGGCTGCCCAGCAAGCGCTGACAATATACCAGTGTTTTTACATTGGGCCGAAGAAACAACGTTCGCCTCGTAAAATTCTTCCAGATGGTATCATCTACATCTGGAACGCTGGCGATCAGTCCCAGGGCTACAAATGACGCATTCAGGTTGTTCTCCACTTGAGACCTGAGGATCTGCATGTAAACTTCGAGCAGTTGGGGAAGGAAACAAAGAGAAAGACAGACAATACGCTGCATGTAAGACCTCCATTTAACAGTACACAAGTTTGCCTATGTTAGCCCTAATCCTATTTCTTGGGTGCAGGCGGAAGTCGTGGTGAAGGGGCCGAAAAGGGATCCGGGGACTAAGATTAGACGTGATCACGAGAAAAGAGACGGAGCAATTACCTCCTTGTGATTGTCGCACTTGAGACTGAACTCCCTGGTCGTGGACTTCGAAGAGCTGCGATAAAGCACAACCCCAATTACGCAGGCCAATAGCCAGCCCAGCAGAACACATACCACCAGCACTGCCACATGCCGCACAGGTTTGCCCTTGCGAGTGAAGGAACGCATCATCGTCCCCCCTCTCTTTCTGTAACGCGGACGCATCGTGCTTTCCATCAATGTCATCGCTGGTCAACTAATCAATCCTCAGCCCGTGCTCAATGTGGCACCCAGTATTCCTATACAAACCTTGACAAACGTATTGTAGACTGAAGGGATTCCATGGCACCCTACTTGTGATCCTTGTTTTCCCAGGAAACATAGGGTTCTACTGATAGAATTCGACGAAAACGATTGATTCATCCAACTAAACACTCTGAACACTAGTGAAGTTGCCAATCAAAACTCTAAACCCAATCTCTTATTGCAGCAACATCGAGCGACGATCAACCCTTTCTTAAGTTCCGTAGTAGACAGCTAAGCCTGAACGTGCATATTCACTATAAAGCACTGCCTAATTTTTCCAATATAAGCTTATGCTGACATTCCCTCGTCACCACTATCGTTCATAACTACTCAATCCACCTCTACGATCACGTCCACAATCACTTTCGCTACACCATCACGTCCGCAATCGATTGTCTCACCACAGAAATATAAAACGCAGACTTCGTTTAACCCGGCCATTCCGATGTCGTGGATATCCCGCTACAAACACTCGATGGGTTACGCACTTCTACTATCAAACGTGTCTCAATCAGAACCTAAATTCTACGAGCAAAGGCCGCTTCATGTAGCAAGGGATCAATCCCTTGAGTTTGAATTTAAAAAACGACAGTCTTACGCTGTTGACAACATCATATCACTAACGTCCAACTCCAAACAGGAAAACAGTCTCAGATTTGTCGAACATCGATGAATCATGAGTAACAAACGAAGTAACGCGTCTCGATGCAACCTGAACCACCGCTTCAACGATTGCCTTACACAGTGGCGGGAACGGCGCGAAAGTGATTACCTAGCATAACCACAGAAATCCAACCGATAAGTCCCAACCCCTCGACCGGCGAATTCGCCTAAACATCACAAGACACCCCCAAGCTCATGTAGTGGGCACAAAACAGCACCCGAAGAAGCGCAACATCTTGGTAGGTCTACGTACATAGGGGGACCCTCGCCAGCCAGTTCGAAATGTGGCTCAGACAAAACCCGGTAGATATTCCCACTACACTGAAATTCTAGTCGAAACCAAAAGTAGTTTAACGTATCAAATAAAGCCACTAGGTGGGTACTCATGGTGGCTCCAGGCAAGGCAAGCAGCTTCTCGGAAGCATGATCCGGCGGTAGAGGGGTGATGAAAACCAGTCAGCAGCAACAGCAATTCCGTATGGAAGCCCCGAACAAAAGCGATAGAGGGTTTGGGGGATGGAGGGAATGACTACGAGGAGGAGGGTGGAGGGGGGGGAGGGGGGGGGGGGGACCATCCTCATTCAGAGACGGGCGGCTACCGCGAGCGCTGTGGGAGACTTCGGCGCCGCGACTCGCGCGACAATCTCCTTCCACCGCCGCTCTCCGTCTGCGTTGCTTCGTGGCTTCGTCGTCGGGGCACTACTCTCATTCATCGTCGTTTTTGTAAATTCAGCCCACGGTTTCATCCACGTCACGGACGCTCAGTTTTTCTGGGTCCCCCGCTCTCTCTCTATTCTCAATACCTTCCACGCCCTTTTCGAACTTCTTAAAACATTCTCCGAATTATATTAAAAGAAATACTTCTCCTCGTATCAGCTTCCAGATGTACCTGCCGTTGTTGAGATGGTTCTTAATGACGCCTTTTCAAGTAGCTTTATGGGTATGTTTTGTTTTCCTCCAATGTTGATGTCACAAATTTTACTTGTAGAAGTTTTTTTTTTTTTTTTTTTTTTTTTATCTACTGCCACCATTTCATATTTTACTAAGTTCTGTTTAATTTACTGGCCATAATTAAAATTATTATAAAAATTACAACAACCAAGTTGGTAAATTTGTACATCTAAACCAACCTTTGACAATAAGAATACACACACACATATATATATATATATATATATATATACATTCTGTTTTTTCTGTTTTGTTTGGAGCAAAAAGAAACTTTTTTTCTTCCTGTATGTTTATATCAATGATTAATCTTAGAACCTTATTCCACCATCCTCAACTCTATTACAAACAACATTTTCTAACATTATTACAATTTGAATTAGAATAAAAGTTCTAATATTTTATAAGATTATAAATATTAGTGAGCTTTTTCATCAAAAATAGATTATCCACTGATAGATACTATTTTACACATTGCTTTTTAGTACTTGAGAAAGATAAGAAAAGAAAAGAGAAAATAAAATAAGTTCTTTGAGGCAATTAGAACAAATTAATAAATAATCTACTAATATATAAACATATATATATATATATATATATATTCTAAACTAAATTTATCTTATGCAAAGTGCTAAATTTTAATATTTTATCTCATCGAATATTTATCTATTACAAGGAAAATAACCAAAACAAAACAAAACAAACCAATCCTCTGAAATTGATTTTGGTTTTTAAATTAATAAATAAGTTTTTATTTTAAAATACATAAAAATATACATAAATATATATATATGTATATATATATATATATATATATATATATTCTTATTCTCACCTGTCACTATTCACTATTTAAAACAACTATCATATTCACTTTACAAATCAAAATCAATCAGTAAAAAATAAAGTATTAAATGTTTTTTAATATATTTATAAAGATATAATTATTTGAATCGATTATATGAATTAAAAATAATTTAGGTATTATTATAATATATATATATATATATATATATATATACTTAAGTGATTTACATTAGATGTACACAAATCATAAAGTTTAAGTGAAACTATTGATTTTTTTTTTATTAAATACAATTATTGAGTGTTGGTTCTAAATATCAAAAACAGGTTTTCTATATATATATATATATATATATATATATATCAGTAAATAAATAAAATTATGTTTTCCAATCAACAACAAATATATATATATATATATATATAAACTAATGTTGTTTAATTCATGTAATGATAAATTAAAAAAGAGAGGCATTAATAAATTAAAATAAAACCTATTTTACATTTTAAAAACATAATTACAAGGCTGAATATCATCTAGGTAAGAAATGACGTAAATATCACAAGACAACTGCAACGAGCAAAAACTGAAATTTTTTTAAAAAAAATATTTTTATTTTATTTTATTTTTTTCTTGCTTATTGCTTGTTGATTTTAATTTTGATTTAACTTTTAGTAATGTACGTACCATTTAAGAAGAAATCAGAAGATTTTAGAAGCATTTTATATGAGTCCATGGAATTCCTTTTTAATATTCATAAAATATCTACTTCCAAAAACCGAATCTTATACATGTTTAACTTATGAACGATTTTTTTTAGCTTTTAAGATATCACTTGTGTTGAAAATATTTTTTAAGAAAAAATGTTACACATTTATCAAGGCTTGACTTGTTCACTGTCATCAAACGTCTATATTATCTTATTCTTTAAAATATTTTTTGACTTGAACAGTACTTGTAATATACAAATTAGAAGACTTCTAACCTCAAATTTATTACAATGACAGTTCATTCTCTCAAATTTGTTAATTTCAACACAATTTTTATTTATTTTGAATAAATGAAAGTGAAGAGAGACACCATTGCCAAATCAATCAAACTTTGGAGAGGAGCATGTCGCGAGGGGGTGGAAGAGCAGCAAAGGAAGGAATTGAGAATGAAAGAGAAGGGAATGGAAGGAAAGGGAATGGAAGGGAAAGAGAAAGGGCAAGGAAGGGAAAGGGAAAGAAAAGAGAAGGGAAGGGAAAGAAAAGGGAAGGGAAGGGAAAGAAAAGGGAAGGGAAGGGAAAGGGAAGGGAAAGAGAAGGGAAAGGGAAGGGAAAGAGAAGCGAAAGGGAAGGAAAAGGGAAAGGGAAGGAAAAGGGCAAGGGAAGAAGAGGAGGAGGGAGGAGAGAGAGAGGAATGGATGGATGAGGAGGGGAGAGCCAAATAATGCTGCTCTGCCCCACTGGGTCCCCACAGGCTCATCATCATCATTATCATGCACTCTGCTCCGCTTCTTCGTTCCCCTCCCTCTCGCGCTCCCCTCCCCACTCCGTCCGTCCTGTGTGTGGGGTGGGGGTGTGTGTGCGAGTGAGAGAGAGTGTGTCTCTCACTTAGTTGCTGGTCTGGACTGTCCGTCCGTCCCTGCCTGCCTTGCCTGTGGCTATGGCCATGCTGCCCTCCTCCTCCTCTCTCCTCCCGCTGCTTCTTCACTTGCCTTACTCTTCTCTCGCCTCCGCGCCCTCTCTTCCCTTAGCTCCCTAAGTCTGTTTCCTTCTCCTCACAGGTACTCTCGGCGCTTGCATCTGCACTGTGAGACACACTCTTCGCTCTGCATTTTTTCACTAGCTGCTTCTCTTCACCACCTTCGCCTCTCGTTTCCTCAATCGTTTAAGCGTTGCACTGGATTACAGCGACAGGCGTTACTTCATTAGCTCCTTGCGATTTGTTAATGTTCGCCACGGTCGATACTGCTTCTTCTTTTTTCATTCATTTATTTTTGAAGGAGTTGCATGTGTCTCATGCCAGGTCGTGTATAATGTAGGGTTCTCCTTTCAATTCCGAGGGCTTGACTGCTCATTAAATTTTACCACTTCCACGTTTGTGGACCTAGACCATGGAAGCGTGCATTCTGTCGTGTGTCCGTTGCGGAATGGCCGAGTAGAATCAAGTCCGTAGTCTGGTATTCTTAGAGTGGGGTAGTTGTTTGTGGACGTGATTGAGTTCTTATCAATGGCAGCGGTGACTAAGAGTTATCCGCAGAAGCTTGATTTTGCAAAATTGATTAGAGTTTGATAAATTGTTTTGCGCACATGCTTGCAGACACAGAGTACACCTAACGGCCGGTACTACGAAATCTAGACGCGATCGAATGGCGCTCCATGTTGCTGCTTCTAGATAGTGACGTCAGATCTTCGATTGTCAACTTTACTAATCGTCTGATGTCACTCAGTTAATAAGTGACCTCTCCCAAGGTGCAGGGAGGTGCAACGATGAAGTTTCTAGAGTGGTCTACCGTAGAAAATGAGGAAATTGAGGCCCACTTTCTCAGCAGGCTCAACTGCTTGCAGAATTTTCGTACGGAAAGGATTGGTCAACGTGCAGTGCAATTGATTGGGGATGTTTGTTTTGGCTTCTTCGTTTTCGCAGTCCTCATTGTGACTGTAATCGCTATCACCTACAAGCCCCCCGATCCGTGGCTACAGGAGCAAAAGGCTTACAATATCCTCTTCAACAGCGTCGGAAATTCCACGTTCCACCTGGATGATTCAGTGCTCGTTACGGGAGACGATCTGAATGTAAGTTCAACAAGTACACCTCTTGCACTCCCTCCAGCGATTAACGCGACCGTTTTCGATGAAAATTCTGTTCAAGAAAGTTGTAATACTTCTATCCCCTGGAATTGTTCAGACGCAGGGGTGAAGTTTGTTGTTGAGAAAATGAATGCACATCATTTTCCGAGACTCATTTTTTATTCGTACCGAATTGTTTCGGGCGGTTCAAAGGGTGTGTGTGATGTTGCCTGGAAATACCGCCCCATGAACATTACAACTCCACGGATGTATACAGATTTCAGGCGTTTTTCTCTGGTTAGGAACAGTGACTGTAGTTTTGAGGTCAAAAAGATAGGAAAGTGGCATTCTGGTGTCAATGCACGGCCGAGGAGGATCCCTGGAGGATCTGAAAATGACGGGAATTCCGCTACGTTTAGCGACATACGGCCAGATACCGCTTTCCGGCAGGGAAAATATTTATATTACACACGTGGAGCTGATTATTGTAAGAGCATGGGCCAGTATACGTGGGGTTTGTTATGTGCACTTGGTGAGGCGCGGTATCTGAATCGGACATTTGTGATGGATCTAGATGTTTGTCTATCCTCAGAATATAGTGCTGCGCACAAAGATGAGCCAGGAAAGGACTTCCGTTACTATTTTGACTTGGAGCATCTCGCTAACGCGACTTCCATTATCGAGAAACACAGTTTTGAGGAGTTGCTCCTGAAGTGGAACGTGCTTACTGAGCGGCATGTCTTCAATCATGAGATTCAACCAGTAGATTTGAAGAACGACACTCACTCTGTCTTGTACCGAGATTTCAGAATTGAGGTTGATTTCGACAATCATTGGTACAGAGTGTGCGAGGGGCAAGCGGAGCATTATATTCAGCGACCGTGGAATTTTCTCTGGAAGTCGAAGCTGCTGATGAATATGGTCAATGCTATTTGCAATAAGTTGGAATGGGATTTCGATGTTGCTCATGTTGTCCGAGGTTATAAAGCTGAAAACAAGAAGCTTTGGCCCAACTTAGACAGTGATACTTCTCCTGAGAATCTTATCGCAAAACTCAAGGTCATGATTGGGTACAGGCGCAAGCTCTACATCGCAACCAACGAACCCTTCCCCGAATACTTCGACAGACTGAGGGAGCAATTTGAGGTTCATGTGCTGGACGATTTTAGCCAACTTTGGGCAGAGAACAGCGAGTGGTATAATGAAACTATGCGCATTTCGGGCAAGCCTGTCAATTTTGATGGTTACATGAAAGTGATAATTGACACAGAGATGCTGAACAGGGGAAAGAAGAGAGTTGAAACATTCAATGACCTCACCAAAGACTGCAAAAACGGGGTTGGAAGATGCTAAAGTCTGAAACTTAACAGCTGTAGAGGTATTTAGTATGCAATTTCGAGCTGTCTGTCCTGCGGTTATGTTCTTAACTAATCGGATTGCAACATAGTGAAGGAACTTTTCCAATTATATAAATTTCGGATCAGAGTAGAATCCGGGTCAATAGGTGCTCTAGTTTGTAGGAATGACTTTGATACGTTTCATAATTTCGACGGTTTGAGACCTGGAATTTTAATCGAGTTACTCTCAAAAACTGTTGTCAGCGAGAGACTGATGTTGAATATTGTTTGAAGAGATTAGGTTGTAGTTTACAATCTCTCTTGTGATTGGACTGATCTGGCGTGAGTTTAGAATTGTCTTTTTGTGAGTTGGTTGATAAGACGATCTACATTGGCATGATGACACACTCAAGTATCGATAGTTTCGCGAAACCGAGAAGAGTAACAAGAACACATATCACAGCCCCTCATTGGTGCTGATCAAGAAAAAACACTGAGAATTGGCCACATGCACTCTCTGCTAACAGGGGAACCCGCCCAACACACCATACCATTCTTTGAAACCTGCAGAGTACAGTGCGTCGGGCATGCACAACCCCATCAACAAATGAAAGTCAATTGATATAGCCCAGTGGCAGGAGAACCAAGACTCAGAGCAGAGACGATGGAATTCAAAACCATGTGAACTACGAAAGATAGTGTCCAGGCACTGCGAAAATTAAAAAAACTTCAGTCGACAGTGTGTGTTTTCATATCCTCAACTGAGATTAAATTCCTGAATTTCACTGTCAGGAAGTGTTGCAAGTTCTGTACACATCCATCCTGTTCTGTGTTGCCAACATAAGATCTTAAAACGACCAGGAAAGGTCGAAATTATGGTAGGGGTCTCTAACCCTACGTGAACTACACTACAGAGGGAGAAGATTATAAAATGCGAACACGAAGCTCAGAAGACAAGACTCAAAAATGTCAAAATTTGACCTCTGGGGACCAAGAACCCTGGACGCTCGGATTAAATGTTACATGTCGCGTTTTGAGCTTCACGACCTTCCTGCCCGTCGAATTGCGTAATCTCATAGCTTGTGTCAAGATCTCTTCTGCATTCTTATTCTTCACATCCACCACTCTATCGTTCTTATTCACTGCCATCGTATACCAAAAAGAGAAACAACGAAGAAGATTCAGAAAAATTAGGCGGTGGAAACTCCATCATTGTCTGGTCAGATGCATCGCGATCGAATCAGAAAGAACGGGAAACAAATGTAGAATAGAATGCTGGGATTCGGAATCACGACTTACAGTAAAGGCCTCGAAGGTAAGGATGTTGGCCAGGGACCAGTTGAGTGGCAACCTCAAATTGAGGGTTGTTCTTCTGGAGGGTAGGGAAAATGCGGGCGACGAACTCGCGGGCACCAGCGCTACTTCCAGAGTGATCACAGAAGCAGACGATGAGCTTCTGCAGCTGCCAAACCCCGCGAACCGCCATTGCGTAGCACGATGGAAGGCGCGAGAGAGACAAGAGACAGATCGAGACGAGGTGAGACGCGACGCAGCAGCAACAGCTGCGAAATCAAACCCTAAACCCTGTGCGCGTCCTCGCTAAAACCTACGACCTGCACGGTGACATGTCATGCCACGTCATCCATAGACTGAAGTCACAACCTCAATCGTGTTCAGTGAAAACTTTCGCTGCGACTCTCAATCAAATCCATCCGTCAGAAATTCGGTTTTGATATATTCAACAATTTATACAAATCGTTTCAGTAGTATTATATTTTAACACTGCTCATAATATCATGTGCGAAAAACCATGGTAGGCGTGTGCTGATCGAGCACCATTATTTGATTTGAAGTAGATTTAGAAGAACTCGCTTTACCAATTGTGATAATCAAGGTTGCACTGCAATTGCGAAAAGTAATTTATGATCAAAAGGTTGGATACAACATAATACTATGCTTCGGGAATTAGGAAGAGGAATCAGCATCACAAAATATGGTATTATTCAGCCCCAGGCTGTTTGAATGAAGTGTCAACTAATGAACATGCTGACGTTGCAACGAGGGAAGGGAACGAAGGAAAGGGGAATGAACAGAAGGGGAACGTAGGGGAACGGAGGCTTTGCTCGGGCATGAGGGGCCCGGGGACCCTTTTACTTGGAAGAGCAGAAGGCGACAAGTCCGGCCCGGTGCCCGTCTCCCTGCGCAGCACTGCTGCTGGCCCTGGTGCCGAGATCAGAACAGGATTGTGTGTCCGCAGCACTACTTACCGATCTCTCCATCTTACATTACAGCTGCCGTCTTCCGCTAGTCGCAAGTCGCAAGCTGGTCGCTGTCTTCATAGAGCATCTGTATCAGTTCCGCGGAATTCTGTCTGTGCATGCGGATAAATTGTGGACGGAGCAGGAGAGAGGATTGTGAGCAAGAGGTGGTGGGAGCGAGACGCTGACCTTATCTGCTTTTGCATTGCTTTACTTTGAAAGTCCTACCGTGATTCCACAGAATCCATGGCACCAGTTTATGAGCATGTCATCCCCTGCCGTCCTCTTTACTAGCCTTCTTGTTATCGGGGAAATAACCTCTTCTTTGAAGCATAGCGTAATGGGGCTTCGATGGTCCTAGGGTGTTGGTGCATGAAGGGAAGTGCCGGGTGGATGATGTCTGAAAGCTCCCAATATGCCTCAAAGTATGTACACGATCTCCATGAATGCTTCTAGAGGGCATTCGGATGTAGCTTACCACACCCCGACGCCTATGTCGCATCCATCATAAGTACATGAGGGACTTCAGCCTCGCTGGATGCTAGGTGGCAACAAAAGTTTGATTCAACATATTATATGAAAAATTTTAGCGCACAGTCGAAACTGAAAATTTCGCGTTTCTATTATGTGAAAAAATTAATGTCGACAGGTGTGGACATGAATGAGACCCCGACTTTATCACATTGTGTCTGACGGCGTATGTGATGGAATTGACTCTGTCCATCTTCGTCGAGTATTTTCTCATGTGAGCCATGGCAGGGCAGAGGTGCGTACTTTTGAAAACTTCGTGCACTTGTGGATCAATCATGTCATTCTGTAAACGTTTATGGTCTTCAGCTCAAAAAATATGAAAATGGGCAGAACATATGCCTCCCTGCAATGCTCCAAAGGATCCGTTTCCTATCTGAGGTATCTGTTAGAAAACATTGCATTTCGCAGCGAGCTTTTCCAAGTCGCTGCCAAACAGTTAGTGATGTAATTGCACGTGAAGTCGAACGCTCTGTGGTGATTAAATGATCAACCAAGAAATAATCAGAAGGAAAAACGAAATGATAGATTGAAAGGATGAATCTGCAAGATTGGCTTGTTGATTTTGAAATGTTCTAGGGTCGATTATGAAGTCGACTAATCTTATTACTGAAGAGTTTCGCAGCAATCGCCTTCCTGGCTTAAATTGCCGCATGCTTGCGCAAGAATGTGATGCTGCTGGTCTATTCTCATGGGCAGTTTCACTTAGAGCATGGTCCCGGAACTTGGCAAGGCGATTTTGGCGTGGTCTGTCTTGATCGTCTCTGAACGACTTAGATTCGTTGACCTCCGTTCAAAGTGCCATCACCGAGGACTTGCTCCAGATTCCAGATCTGGCCTCGTCAATTAGCACGCATTTTTTTTACTTTTACCTCATATCGCTGTTGCTTACGTGAGGTACGCTGGAGTTCAGTCGTGCGGAGATTAGTCAGGCCTTCAAACATGCACCACTGAGATGGCGAGCCCGATTACTCTCGTTAGACGATTATATGTATGGTTGGGAGAAGTATTTGGTACTCACTCCATCACAACTAGTTACCCTGAGTGAGACTGAGAAGCAGTTCAACTGGTGTCCACAGTCTTTGAGATGAAGACAAGGTCTTCTGAATTTCCAGTTCTATGGTGCGCTTAAAAGTATAAAAAAGGAGGTTCTAAGTACTCGTACATGGTAGGGTCGTCCACCCTTGGACCATCTCTGGTCCACGTGCTTCCACAGCGTGCACGCAGTACAGCCAGATCATTCCTCTTTTTCTCTTCAAAGTTCAAGTATTTTTTACGAGAACAGTTTATAGAGTCTGTGTCATAGCTTGCTATCGGCAGCAGGTGTCGCTATCGTGATATTCACCTCTTGTTTCCAGCATATAATCGTCGTCTTTGTCTGTCTCTAGTCGACTGATGGAATGAGCAATTTGCACCGATATAATATCTGTGGGGAAGACAATTTCATGTTTCCTATCCATCATCGAAAGAAACAACAGTTCACTTCGTTAGTTATTCCAGCTTTGGCTTTAAACAGGCATTGGAGACGTGAAGAGATATAACCCAATATAACGATTTCAGTACATCGAAGTAGAACTATTGTTGCATCACTGTCCATAGTTCCGAAATGTTGCCATCAATGTTCTGAAATGAAGGCCAGTAAAATTGATGTTCATGATCGGAGAAGTGGTTGAATTTCCCTTGACGACAGTCAACATTCAACCCTAATGAAACTTATCGTCCATGAGGTACACTGAAACATTTTTATAGGTAATTTTTACAAAGCGATTGAATGCACGTGTCACTTGCTGGCAGTCTAACATTAAGCAGTTCTTACGTTTTGCGTGTGGTCAGAGAAGCTCCAGTATATAATTATGGATGCATTAGGTGTTTAAAACCGAGTAGAACAGCAGGTCTCAGCAACTGATTGTTTAAATTGGCAGATGAACCAGTGAAGTTAAAGCAGAGTGGGAGCGTCACAACTCTGTATATAGCGCATTCATTGCCTGTGTAGGTTAATATACTTGACTGCTCGATTTGATATTTGGTGACTTAGTTGTATACTATCCATATGCTGGTCAAAGATATCAACGCAGTCGTTGATAGTGTCTCATTTTACTGTTAACTTCAAGTTGGTAGAAGTTCCCAATGACGTACAGCCAGGGAGTAAAGTAGCCTGTAGCAGAGTTGTGACGAGGTTGAGCTTTTGACCAACTCAATGCCCCCCCCCCGCTGGACACATTATTCAATTACGTGTCATAATGGTACCCTTTCAAGACTTCGAGATCTACGATTAGTGAAGTGTTCCGTCCAAAATCGTTCTTTTATCACTTCTCTAGACAATGTCATGAAATGCCAAATTGTTCAGATGCTAATGGATACATGAAAGAATCGGTATACTTCCCTCGTCGAATAGCTTATGAGATTATCTGCAGGCGCATTTACACTTTATGTGGGTTTTATGGAGATGCAACATTATTACAGGTACCGTAAACACCATCATCCCCTGGGATAAACCACTGCTCGTTCTTGTACTAGTTCACGATGTGTGTTGGATCTGCCGAGGTTTGTTGCACTATTTAACAACCATCCTACATCCACGGTTTGATTAATGTGTATGCACTGTGCTTGTTCAAGTCGATAGGCCACGAGTCTGACATGCAACAGTGACACTTTCAGTACTGCGTCTACAGATGACTAAGAAAAATGAGTATTTTGACAATGTGCTTACTCAAGTTGGTCGGCCCTCCACCAGCATGCAAGGCAGCTATTTTTCCCTACAGGTGCATTGAGAAACATCCTCTTCCTACTGGGTGCACTGAATGGATGACAGGAGCGGAGACCCTAGTTTAGGTCTTGGAAGCAAACAACAGTCAGCAAGGTAACTGTACTGAAATATCTTAAAACAATTCATCCCTACACACAAGTTCTCAAGGGATAAGTCCATGCATATGATCCGTCGGCAATAGTCGACAGCATAGTTTTCGCCGGGTACCATAGGCAAGCTGTGTTATTCTCGAACATCAATCCAGCGACAAACCTGGCAGACCGCATGGTGCTTTTCCAAATGTGGTCCACTTCCAGTACCTACCTTACCCCCAAAGAGCTGAGGAACCAAGCAGCGGTGCTAACCTTTTAGCAAGGTGCAATTTGCCAAGCATAGCAAGCGTTTCGCCTGATTAATCCGCTTCTCGGCATCTGCTGTGATCACTAATAGTCTGGCGAATAGGTGAACGCGACGTATGTTTTGAGATTATACATACAATAGAGCTTTTTTCCAAGCATGCGGCTGATGTCATGGCAAGCGAGAGATGCGGATAATTGTGCACAAGAACCTGGCGTTGGATGATGAAGTCAAGACTTCGAGTTGATATCCAGGTATGTGACAATAACTGATGGATGTCAACCGCAACCACGTACGAACTTCTAGTCCTCGCCTAATTTCCCCTTACGTCATTCGATCACAGCAACCCATTCGGAAGCTGAGATTCTTCAGTGATGGAACATGCGGCGTCTTTAAAGGACCAAAGACCGCTTCAAGAATTCGTCACGCAGAGTCCCACGAGAAATAAGGCTGAAGAGTAGATCTCTGACGTAAGAGCCAGCAGTTGAGTGAGTCATGAAGCCTTGCGGAGGCCTACAATCCAACCAGACTGAAGTACAAATAACCACGTGACATGCGTGACGTCGGCGGCAAACATTGTAATCGAGTCTGCTTGAATTGCAGGGCGTCGACAAAACTCATGACGGCCGCGATCTCGTCCGACGCCGCTCACGGCAGAATGCAGCGATGCGAACGCAATGGTTACCACATGC